TACATTTTAGGTCTCTTTATAAAACAGTCATTCTGACTTACCTAGTCGTCCAAACTTAATATAAAAGACAATTCTCAATTAATTTCCTCCTTTGATATGGCTATGTTGTGGTGGATGTGTATAGCTTTTGTACCTGGGGTCTTACACTGTTATGGTACGTAACTGAAGTTTCATAATTTTTTTTTGATATTTAATACAAATAATTCCTCATGAATTTCTTCCGTTTTTATAGTAATTGGACTAAATAATTTTAGTTTGTTCATTTCAATGCTTGTACCTGGGGATAAAGCAGATGAACTTAAAATTTATGAATAATTTTAATTTGATTTTATTTATGAATATTTTACGTGAGTAACATGTATTAGTGTGCAAATCACAGACATGTTACAGGTATGTTTTATGAAAAGTGCTACACACCAATAATTTGATAATAGTAAATTTTAAAAATCCTTTTGTGAATTAACATTTTACTCTGCTTGTATTTTTACCTATTTCAATTATCATAAATGGAATAATACTTATGAACTTTAAAATTTATGAAGGATCTAATTTGATTGAATAATGAATGTTTCACGTGAGTTATTAATATGTAAATCACAGACATGCTACAGGTTTATTTTATGAAGAGCGCTACACACCAATAATTTAAAGTAAAGTTTATGTGAATTTACATTTTACAAGTTCAAAAGCAGTACTAAATATTCAAATTTCTTTCTGCCCCATATCATATTTTAAAAATGTTTCTGTAGCCGCAATATGAGTCAATCTTGTGCAATTTTGATTGTGTATATCTCTACGCTGAGGTAAACAAATATATGACTTTCAAATCAATTTCAGTGTTGACTTTTATGAAAACACTGGAAATGTAAATATTTTAAAATTTAAAAAAAATGCAATTGCTATAATTCAATTTCATTGTATACTCTAAAACTGTTTTGCATATCCATACAAAAGACCGTTGAGGAGATTTATGTTATAGTAGTATATTATCACATTATACCCTTTTTATCTCTTAGGAGTATATATAAAAGAATTCAGCACATCCGAGACAAGGTTTGATCGATCCTTTCTAAATAAAATTAGTTTATTGTCCATCCTCCTATAAATTTTTGTTTTTGTTTTTGTTTTTGTTTTTTGCTACATTTGAAACAAATTTGTTACGAAACATATTTTATTGTTTAATATTTCTTTTTTTTTATTTGAAGTATGGTATTTCTCATGATTTTTAAAAAAAAAACGTATAAACATTGTAGTATACATTGTAGCATGCAGATATATTTTATTGAAAAGAACATAAAAAATATGATTTTTTTTGATAAATTAAAATAAAACATTCCTCGGAAAATGTTCTGTGTACTTTTATTTATCTCTCTTTGATCCATGGAATAATAATTTTTATCAACATCAGCCTTAGGAATAACAAACTAGCAGTTTTATTTTATTAAAACTTAAATAATTCTTTACATATATATATATCCTTGAATGTCTATCTGTATGCTTTTTTCAGAATTGTGTCAAATAATACGAGGGGTGTTCAATAAATAATGTCTTCAGCTCGATGACATGTTACATAGAAATCATATGACATAAGACTTAACTTTTCCGCCTTATTGAATCTTTAATGTATTGATAACAGTTCATGTGACCACTTTTCATCACATAGTTTCATAGCGGCAAGCTGGAAAAAAGGGGCTATTCGAGACACTACATTCAATATGAATGTTAAAGAATCAGTAAAATAGAGTAAAATTAAACGCTTTATCAATTGAAAGCTGATGTAAACCTTGTTTAGAATCCCAGAGAAATATTTACTGCGATATGTGAAAACTGAAGCAACCAATGTCTGTTTTATACACACAAAAGCAGGAAGATTGCAATGAACAGAAATGATAATGGGCAAAATAAATGGGTACCGTCCTTGGCGACAAGGACTTATAATAACCAATGCACTGTTTGGTAAAATTCAATAAATTATCACTGATTATGTTTGATTGACTTTAAGATACATAGCAAATTTGATAGGGACCAATTTGGGGGTAGTTCACAATGATTGAAAGAAACATATAACAGTAAAAAAGTTTAATACTCCAAGGTCACCCTGCGTTTTGAAAAATTGGTGAAAATGACAGTGTGAAAAAATATCTAAAGATTTATTTTGAAAAAAAATAAAAATTGTACTTATCCACGTTTGCCTGAAATTTAAGCAGATAATAAAACTTGTATCAATTGTGCATTCAACCCTCAAAACAAATTAACATTAATAAGATGCACTTTGACAAAACAGCAAAGGTTTGAGAAGGATATGGAGATAACGAACAGTATTCAATCTCAAAGTCCATAAAACAATACAAAATAAGAACAGGGCAAACACGGACCCCCGAAACAACAGAGGTGGGATCAGGTGCCATGGAGGAGTGAGCATTCCCTCCGTCCGGTCACACCCGCCGTTTGCTCCTTGTCATGATCAGGAAATAACGGAAAAAATCCGTCGTCAATTCAGTGTATAAATAATGGACTAACAATTGGTATGAAAGACGTCAGTCAGCATTTGGCTCAATGATAAATTGTATTTGCTGACAAAGTCATTGTATCGACCATAGGACTTACGAAATGATGACTTTAAACGAGACTGCTGATGTTCTTGTTTCATCAACTTTCTTGTCAATAATTTACCTCGTTTCAGAAGTTGTTCATACGTAGAGCATGCTCTTGCGTATCGAATCAACTGAGATATATATACTCCGTATGCAGGTAATAAAGGTACATGTATATTGCTGCATAAGTAAGGGAAGTTGACGATAGAAAAGTTAATCATCACGTTTATCATATAGTTTGGTTGTTAGATTACCATAAGGGTCTTTTTCAAGTAAAATATCCAAGTATGAAATAGAAGAGTCAAACTCTGCGGTATCTTTTATCAAGCTCACCGGGATATATCGTATCGACATAGGATTGGAAATTACCATTGTTAATTGACAATACGTCGTCGATATATCTAAATGCCGCTTGAAGGCTACAGCAAATGTTTTCTTCTTTTCACGCATAAGATTTTGTATAAATTCTGCTTCATATGAATATAAAAATAAGTCTGCTAATAACGGAGCGCAAAAAATTGGAAAAGCACAATGAAAGGTTAATATGCTATATTTTTTAAATATAAGTGATCTTGTTGTTCAATATCTTATTCGGGGGTGGGGGCACAGTTCAACTACTGCAGGGGTCTAGAAAGCAATTTTTTGGACGAAAATCAAAAGGTTTATACGCAGGGGTAATAAGGAAGCATAAAAAATATTCAACTTGACTTTACCAGTGCAACATTAGGACGTCATAGTAGGCGAGATAACGTCAATTCAATATTAAAACACAGGTTTTCGTAATATTGTTATTTAGAGATGTGATATAACTCTAGAAAATGAATAGAAACGTGTAAACATTAACAAAAATAAAATAGTTTTATTTGTTATGCTGTATCTGTCATGTTGATTAAAATTTACCACCGGTCACGTCATATGTGTACATCTAGTAACTTTGGAATTCATCAATCCCTGTAAAGAGAATTTGCCTGAGACGGTACGTACAAAGATACGTAAAAAAAAGTTTCAGGGCAAATATCGTGAATATTTTGTGAAAATCATATGGAATTCAGTTAATTAAACAGGTGTGCCAATTTATATTTATCGAGTATATTCTCTTTCGAAGACAGTCAGCTATATACGTATCCTGGTCGGCCTTTCCTCTGCCATCCGTGACTAAAATAATGCAACAGAACTACAATAAGCTGGGTATTTAAAAAAGATTTGTACAGATTGAAAGTTTGTATCCTAAAATATTTGGAAAGTGCTGCTAGAATCCCGAGTTAAGCATGGCTTTACGAAAAATCTCGGCTCATATGTATAAAATTCAAAACATCGGGTAAGGTTTAGAGCGAATATGAGGAATAATTATTTTACTGACAAGACAGTGGGATTCTAGCAGGACTTTTTAGGCAAAATGGGTGTTTTTAAACTATATCATTTACTCAAAGAAATTATTAAACTCCGGGGTATTGTTGTTCTGTTAGCTTTTTTATTAAAGAAAAATTTCGCTATTAATAGAAGTCACGTGATGCCGTGGTGGTGGTACACGTCCTTGCGTTAGACACTGTTTTATCTTTATGTAATAGATAATAATAGTTTACGTTAATCGGCGGTTCTGGTAAATTATCAAACTTAATTTTCTTTAAAAAGTGTAAATTTCCCGAAAAATGACTTATATGCTTCCTTAACATACCCGCGTAAGAAGAAGGAATCAGAATTAGAAATAACTACAATAAATTTCTTTAGAACAACGTCAGAACCACAAGCCATGAAGAGTAAAGAAGTTTTGGGGTTAAACAGAAACTTAATGTTTTGTCACACCAACAATATTCACCAGATCTTTCAACCTTTGACTTTTTTTGTTTCCTTAAGAAAGAGAAAACAAGTACAGAAAATCATAGGATCTGCCATATTTCAGTATATGAAGGGTCATACTCACAAAAGTGATCAAAACAATTAGAAATTGAATAAAATTGTTACAGACATATATTTCAATTAAAAGAGAATATTTAAGTGAAATCATCAAGACTAAATCATCGAAATACGTTTTTTTTGTTTCTTTCCGAGTACTGATGACATTATTACTTGAAGGTCCCTCGTAATTGATAAAAAGATCATTTATAGACAAAATATCATCAGCGATGAAATGTTTATTCCTCCGACTTTAAGATTTTAATTCCTTAATCATTTGAAGAATCTAAGTTCCATTTCTGTAATTGCCGAGCAAAGACCAAGTAAATATGTCGTATTTGAGTTTTAGCAAACCTGAGCTGAGAGCTCAAGTGATTGATATTTTTATTTGTAAATGCAAGAATAAGAAATTAAAAATCCACGTCCTCAGAACTTTAAAAGACAAAGTTTACTTAATGCGCATTTTAATAATTAAATTTACATTTTGATATTTGTCTTTTTCAAACTTTACAGAAAATATATGTAAACAACCATTTAAATGTCAAGCAACACAGAGTTCAACATTAAATGACAAGGAAAATACTTTTGGAGCTCAAAAGGTGATTGATGGCGACATTCATCAGGATCAATTCAGCTGTTCACATACTGCTGATAGGGAAAAAAGAGCATGGGTTAAGTTGGACCTAGGACAGGAGTATCAAATAAAAAACATTATCATTTATTATAGAGATGAAGGTAAGTAATTTTATTAGAATATTAAAAAATATATCCACAATGTAAAACAATCTTATTCAGTACAACATACAACATAACCAATACTTCGGAGCTATTAATACTTTTTCTATACCTCTTCTATTATTTTTCAATATAGAATCAATACCATAAAATTGTTTATTTTCCTGCAAAGAAACTATTTCCCTCATTTCCCTCATCTGAAAAATACTCCATGAAAAATCAAAGCTACTCCCTTTGACTATTCAATTGTGAATATTTACATTTGTGGTATTTTTTTTTACATATATGAACATAATAAAAGCTGCTAAATTCAATTCTGTATAAACTTTAGTTTTGGGTCAGAGGTCATGCTGTAGGTAAATCACATGGCGTAATGATAAATTCATCTAAACTACATGCAATTGGACTACTTTTCATATGTAAACATGTAAAAGTAGGCCAATTACATAAAAAAAACGCAAAACTCTATATAACACTGCTATTTATATTTAGTGACATATTTACACAAAAAATGAAATTTCTTGAAGTGAACCTATAAAATTAACAGAAAGAGTTCATAATTCCTAGTGCTCAACGACTCGTATGCTTTAACCTATACATTAAATCATGTCTGAGTTTGGAAAAAGTGACATGGGTTGCGCAAGGGTAGTTGAAAATCTTTTTCAACTGTTTAAGAAGAAATAATGGATAATTTAGATCTAAGATCTAACAAGCATATAATCTGTTTCATCCATTCCAGATCTCGAGAAAATAAATCAAACTTGAAAATACCTGCGCATCCTTGTCTATCTTAATCTGAGAAATTTTGAAAATGTTACTGTTGAGGACCTGGCTGGTCGATAAAGAACGTTTTACTATGAAGCCAAACCTAAGGGATCTGTTAAGCGTCAAGAAAATTTAATATCTGTACAGACAGATTGAAAATTATCACACACATACATTAAAAATCTTTTATCTGCCATCTACCATCATTTGCAGGACATTGGAAGATCAGTTGACATTGTCCATGCTAAAGAGTTCAACTCTTCAAATCACACACTTGGTATTATGTTTAAGTTCATGATATGGAGCGGAGGATGATCTCAATAAAATATCTTCTAACTTTAAGGCCGCCCCATTTTCTCCTATTGTTCTAAAGTGGTGCGTTTAGTTTAATCTTTCTCTTCAGTTTGTTTCTCCCGGGCAAGAATTTCATCATAATGTGACGTGTAACCGAGCGGATGTTACAATTATAAAAATAATCAAAAATATCTACAAAAATATTAACTCTCAATTTAGACTGAGCTACTTGCTCAAAAAGTGATTCGTGGGAAAGCTCAGATAACTTCAGAGAACCTAACAAAGAGAAATTATATACAACAAAAATAAACTATGGGACGGGGTAAAAATCAAAATCTCAATCTAGCTCTATTTTACAGAACAGTCTTAAATGCGTCTCAAATCTGTATCACTGCTGGCTTACTTATTTTTAATTAACTAAGTTTTACTTTATTTATTTAAAGCTTAACTTAATGTAAGCTAGGGAAGGAAAGACTTGTTCAGACACGTCTAATCCCTGTCTCACCATAACCTAAGTTTTCCTCAGCAGCTTCTTCTCTAACCGTCCTACTTACTTAAGGACGACAGACCTAATTCGAAATTTCGCGCCACTGCGCAGGAAGTCGCGCATCTGCCTTGAATCAGATTGACGTAATTATGTATTGCTAAAGATGATTGATATACATTTTTTAATGTTTACAAAGAGTTTCATACCTTAAATCCTATACAAAAATATTTTACACAATTCGATTTACATTCATTTGTTTTTCTATAAGTAAATGATTATTTTACGACATCTGCCGTAAGCGCATGGCGAGTAAACAAAAACGTGTTGTGATGTTGATGACTTTCCTGACTCGCCGGTTAGGCTGGCTTTGTTCATTTGAAGCTTCGTTTTTCATTAAAAAATGAAATGCAGCAAGTACAAACATCGTCATAAACTACGGCCAAATGTACGACCCCTGTCTCTCATTATCGATACGATTCTAGAGCGGATTCTGGACCGTGGCCTAAGACAATAAGTTCAAGTTGATGTTTCTGATGGAGATGATTTGTAAGGAAAGATCTTTTTCTGAATAATGTCTGTTACGTTGCCTTTTCGTCCTAAAGATGAACTAAACATGCATGATGGATTGATGCTAAATGAGCATAAAAGTGTTTGTAAATGAAGGAGAAAACAAGAGCCCGGAATGCCAGGACCTAACAACTGCCAAAGCTTGAAATTTCTGATGTGATATCAACACTATTCAGTATTTCATTTGGAACAGGTAACCATATTTAGATTTTTTGTTTTAGGCTAAATTTTGCATTTATTCATTATGTTTTATTATTATTGTTGAATATATTTCTTTTAATGCATCTTTAGGTCTATGTAAAAATGTTAAAGATTTTGGATGCAATTAATTGCAATAGGTTGTGAATGCTAAGCAAAATACCTTATTAGAGTAGCCGAGTTAATTTATAAGCATACTTAATTCTCAAAGAATATTCAACCAAGCTTAAATATAAAGCCATGCAGATAAACCTGGCTATTTACCTGCTTAGAGATGAATCAAGTAAAGTACCAGCAATGTTGAAACAGGCTGATCATGATCACTTCATTTTTAAATATATGTATTTTGTGCTAGCTTCATTCAATCATTGATAAAATTTTCCTATATAGCAATGAAATTAAACTAGCAAACTTCTTTAAAGATTTTACATGTGTGTTGTTGGTAATTCCCCTGTGTTACCAATATGTAATCATAGAATCAAGTATGGCAGTATGCTATCTTATACGTCATATACCGTATAATCCATATTAACCGCCCCTGGACCCCTATAAGCGCCCCGGCCCCCCTTAGGTCTTTTTCAATTGTCCGGAAATAAGGGCCCTCTGGCTGTAAAGTGATTAAAATCAACAAGAATCATATCAAAATATTGAAGAAAGTGAAAATTAAACTTATCTATTATCCAATATTTCAATGGTAATGAATAATTTAGCATAATTTGGGTGGATTATCTTCACTTTAAGTAAAGTTAGACATTATTTTATTGGTTCCTTGTATTTATTATTTTTTTTTCAAAAGATTTTCTAAAGTTAAAATATGATATTGAATATCATAAATAGAGTACCAAAAAAAACGCCCCCTTTTTACAATTTTCTAAGCGCCCGGGGCAGTTAATAGGGATTCGGTGGCGTAGCATCGTTTTTGAAAGTGGGGGGGGGGGGCAGCCGGAGAAATTTTTTTTTTACTTACCTGAAAAAGTTGACAAGTACCAATTACCAATTTTAATACTTCATTTTCGGTACATCACTAAAACTAGGGGGGGGGGGGGGCAACCAGGTTTTTAATTAACATTTGCTATAGTATAGGTAAGGTTGGGAAAAAAAGTGGGGGGGCCAGGCCCCCCCCCCCCTGGCCCCCCCTGTTGCTACGCCCCTGGGATTATACGGTATTTGAACCCTTGAATCATTTGTTTTAATGCAAAAAGTTGTTGAATTATTAGTTGAGGGGGGGGGGTGTTTAAGGTGGGACACAATAGGGGATCAAAGTTTTACCTAGAAATACCAATAAACAAGATGTGTTTGTGAAACACTGATGCCCCCATATGGCAACATAGCAAAGATTAAGCTTTTCTTAAATGCAAATTTAATTAATTGGTACCAAGAGTAGGGTATTCTCACTGGAAAACAATTGTGAAATTTGAAAGTAAGCCAGTGTTAAAGTTTTTTTTAATAAGTACAAAAATCTCCAAGGTCAAGGTCAAAAGGTCAATGTAAATTAGTATGAAATGAAAGGTCTTGCCACATAGAATACTTATGTAGAGCATGAAAGCCTTAGTCCTAACCGTTCAGAAGTTATGGCCAGCGTTCAATTTTTTAAAAAGTAGGTCAAACTCCAACGTCAAGGTCAAAGGGTCAAAGTTCTTGTTATCAAATGAAAGGTCAGGTCATAAGGTCAAGGTCAAAGTTCTTGGTATCCATTGAAAGTCATAACTCCAATAAATCAAAAGTTATGGGCAAGGTTAAAGTTTTTGCGGACAGAGAGACAGCTAGACAGACAGACGGACACGACAAAAACTATAAACCCCCGAAACTTCGTTTACGGAGGCATAAAAATCTTAAGGTAGTAATAGTTGTACTGGTTCAAATGGGGGCCCCATGGGTAGGGCTGGACCATAATGTGTGAGGGGGTGTCAAATGAATAAATTAAAAAAATATCTGCTCAATAACAGCAAAGCCAGTTGTTATATTGATATGGACGCATCATCAGGTTGTTTAAATTCAAGCCCCCCCCCCCCCCCAATGTAAACTCTCAATACTGAAGTGATTTTTGCTTTTTTTTTCTCTAGCCAGTGTGCTAAGATGAGCAATGTCGCCCATGAGCCTTTTGTTTTTCTGTACTATTTTTGTGATGAATGCATCAGTATTTGACTATTTGATCATATACAGTAAAGCACGCATATAACGAAAAATCAAAAACACCTATCTTGAAACAGTCCCTTATACTTAAACTTTTACTTTCTATGCTTATTTTTAATTTGACAAACACTGTATAACGTTCAAGTATTTTAGTTAATTACAGGTATGCTAAGAAAATTTTAACTTTTGAAATAATCAGGCTTTCAGATATTGATTCCCATGGGACGTGGGTCACAAAAATTGTACTTTGAGACAATCCCTAGAGTATTATACGCATTTATTTCACATAAATCCTACTTTATAACCATCCCTAGAGTTTTAAACAACTTTAAATTATTATTTTTATTTAGTGTAAAAGTATATTGAAGAATAAGGAAATAAAACGACACAATTTATTTTGCCAAGGTATTTTCAATGAAAATTTTCCCCAAAAATATGCCATTCACCAGAGTTTGACACACCCCCTTAAAAATTCTAGGCCGATGACCTATTTATTTTTTGGCATTATTTGATACTAAATTATCTTGTTAACATTGTATCTTAATATGAACAAAAA